TGGCTGTCCCCCTGTCCCCATGTCCCAGTCCGGGGCAGGGCACTGATGGCTCGTTCCCCGCAGGCTCCCCTGGCCCAGCGGCTGCTGATGCAGGAGAGTTCCCTGGCCCAGTTTGCCCTGCAGAGCGCGGCCTCGCTGCCAGCCCTCACCCTGGGGCTGCCGGCCACCACCGGGGCCAGCGTGGGTGCCAGGGTGGGTGCCAGGGTGGCACCCCCAGCACTGGGGGTTCCTCTGGGGTCCCTGCGGGGTTTTCCTGTGCGTTTGGGGTTCCTGGTGATGCCCCAAGGGCACGGTGGGGACAATTCTGTGTCCTCCCTGTGCTCTGTCCCTGTCCCTGACCCTGTCCTTGATCCTGTCCCTGATCTTGACCCTGTCCCTGTCCCTAACCCTGATCCTGTCCCTTATCCCTGTCACAGTCCCAGTCCTTGTCCCCATCTCTGTCCCTGTGCCTGATCCTGTCCCTGTCCCCAACCCTGTCCTTGTCCCTCACCCTGACCTTGTCCCTTTGTCTCTCACGCTGTCCCCATCCCTGTCCCCATCCCTTATCCCTGTCCCTGCTGTCCCTGACCCTGACCCTGTCCCTGTCCCTGCTGTCCCTTATCCCTGTCCCTCACCCTGTCCCATCCCTCATTCCTGGCCCTCAACCCTGTCCTTGCTGTCCTCTGTCCCTTATCCCTGTCCCGTGTCGCTGTCCCCTGACCCTGTCCCTGTCCCCTGTCGCTGTCCCCTGACCCTGTCGCTGTCCCCTGACCCTGTCGCTGTCCCGTGTCGCTGTCCCCAGGGCGATGCCGATCGCCGTGCCCTGCCCGCCCTGGCTCACCGTGTCCCGGTGTTGCCGGGCCCGCACTCGCCCGTTTTCCTCCCGGCCAGCCTGGAGCAGCACGAGGCCAGCGGCGCCCTGAGCCCGCGGCTGCAGCCGCTCATCATCCTCGAGCCCTCGGTCACCCACGGCCCGCTGGTGGCAGGTGAGTGACACGGGGACGTGGGGACAGCGGCAGTGCCACCCCTCACCTGTCCCTGCTGTCCCCTGCAGTGCCACCCCTCACCTGTCCCCGCTGTCCCCTGCAGTGCCACCCCCCCCGGACACCCCTCACCTGTCCCCGCTGTCCCTGCAGTGCCACCCCCCCCGGACACCCCTCACCTGTCCCCGCTGTCCCCGCAGTGCCAGGCCTGGGGACAGTCCCGTTCTCCTTCGGTCCCTCGCTGTCCCTGTCCCTGCCCGGCCACCACAAGCCCCTGGGCAGGACCCGCTCGGAGCCGCTGCCCCAGAGCCCCAAGGCCGTGCAGCAGCACCTGCAGTTCCAGCAGCACCACGCGCACTTCCTGGAGAGGCTCAAGCAGCAAACGCACCTGGGCAAGGTGAGACCTCACCTGGGGAATGTGGGACCTCACCTGGGGAATGTGGGACCTCACCTGGGCAAGGTGAGACCTCACCTGGGGAATGTGGGACCTCACCTGGGGAAAGTGGGACCTCACCTGGGGAAAGTGAGACCTCACCTGGGGAATGTGGGACCTCACCTGGGGAAAGTGGGACCTCACCTGGGGAATGTGGGACCTCACCTGGGCAAGGTGAGACCTCACCTGGGGAAAGTGGGACCGCACCTGGGGAAAGTGGGACCGCACCTGGGCGAGGGATGACCCAGGTAGGGTGACACAGGTGAGGTTACCCAGGGGAGGTGACAGGGGACAGTGACAGGGGACAGGAGCAGGAGGGGACAGGGAAAAGCTGAGCTGTGCCCTCTGTGAGTCTGGACACGGGGTCACCTCCCCTGGGTCACCTGGGTCACTCCACCTGGGTGTCCCCTCCTGGGCTGTCCCCTGTCACCTCCCCTGTCACTGTCCCCTGTTCCCTCTGTCCCTTCTCCCCCTGTCCCTGTTCCCCCTGTGTCTGTCACTGTTCCTTCTCCTCCCTGTCACTGTCCCTTGTTCCCTGTCACTGTCCCCTGCCA